ACTCTGCGGTTTACTATGTATTATATACGTACGTATACGCATGCACGGTAACGAAAGCCATCCGAACGGCTGTATGAGATATGTATAAGAAGAGCGCGAGCGTGAGTCGAAAAAAGAATAATATTATACAGCGAGCGTTTCGATCGCGAACCGTATAATAATAATAATAATAATAAGTATTTAATGAGCGTAGCTAGCACACGGTCTCGGTGAAAGGATTACATTTTTTTTTCCTATCGTCTTTTCATGCCCGGTGTTTATTATATAAGTACTTATAAATATACGTGTATACTGACTGCCGGCTGCAATGTCGAACCGCCAATTAGAAAAAAAGTCAATATTAACACATTTTCTCGTAAATCGGTTAGATTCGAACGACCTGACCGTAAATAATCTGACGGGATAATAGCCGCTCTTGATCACACTTGGTTGATCACGAGAGCCTTACACAAATACTAATTTATACCACGATTTTTTTATTAACCGATCCCGAACCACAGCTATGATACATTCTTGACGGAAGTAAAGATGTTCTAATTAACTAATTAATTGGAATTATTATAGTTTTAGGGAGTTTGCCGCCGAGACGACACCGCATAAACCGTACGTTCAGTATAATACCGTTCATGATGTAAATATCGCGTACGTATTTCGTTTATAATAATAATATCATAATATTCGTATACAAAATCGAGTTGGCATTCATTTCGAATTATACGTATTCCTATCTGTTCAGTTGCATTTCACAGCACGCGATCATTAAACATTAATTAAAAAATAAAACAAAAAAGAAGTTTACTTGTCGTTACGGTGTTAGCTATCGTCACAGTAAATTATTGTTATAAACACCGAAAATGAGAAAAATCATAAGTGTCTCGTTATGGGCGCGTGCGCACGGGTCACCGGTGAGGTCGTACCACCAGCGGCGCGACCGTGTTGAGCGCGAGCCCTCGAGGTCTCCGAGACGGTTTCGCGTCGCTCAAAACGGAACGCGACTCCGTAATCGCGCGGGTCCCGAAACGTCGCAACGACCCCTAGAAACAGTTTTCCGCGGTGCTGGGGGGAGGGGGTTCGTAATTACTGTACATCGTGTAAATCCAAACCTGTCGGAAAACCGGAAAATCCTGAACGCGCGCGTGCGTAGGTATGTGATTTATCATGCTCCGTGCGCGTGCCCGGCCGCCTATATAACGTATCACGTACGTGGTTATAAATATAGTATACCGTTCGGTAAACGGATCCGTTTTAATTGAATAATAATAATTACGACGACCTAGCGCGTGCGCGTGTAAACGCGTATACACGTATCTACCACTCTCGTATGGTATTATATATTTTAACGGTTAGCTCGCTCGCCCGGTCTCGGGTCGTTTGCTCGCGTACACAGCATGCAAATACAAACAAAACACACACTCGAATAAATTATAATATGATAGTATGTATAAATGTGTATTATATAGGTGCGTAATGCGCAGGAGTTGTACACCTAGTACGCCCACGCGTCCGTTTTGTCGAGCCGACCTCGGCCGCCGGACCGGGGGGGGCCACTGGGTCACAAGGATTTATCGTGCAACGCCGCCGCGGCGCAGTGGTTGCTAACGACCGCCGTCGTTTTTCACCCGAAGCGTCGAAAAGTAGAAAACGTACATCGCGGCGTTATTCTAACGAACGTATATATTTATTATGTATAACGCGCGCAAATGAGTTTGCGTACGAGGTGTAGGATTCGTGTTCGCGCCGCTGCCGTTGCCACCGCGGGTAATTCCGGCCGACGGGTTTTGGCGCGTTAATAAAGCCTGTTATGTCGGCACTCGAACGCGCGTTTTTCTTCCCGCGAACACGTTTTCGTAGTCTCGATACGTTAAATTCAATCGCCGACTGATACGTAACAATTCGTTGATTAGCCCGCCCGCACACGCGAACGCGTTTCGAAATCGGCCGGATAACTGAAAAACAAACTCTGTTGCTGGTGTACCCGAGAGTATTTATTAGCAGCGACGACCGTGATTAATTTTTCATCTAAAAAACATATTTTTTTCAAAATATTATTATCCCACGATGTATAACGACGCGAGTTGATCGTCGAGAATTTACGGAATATACATAATAGTATAATACTAATTAAAGACCGACAGAATATAACGTCCGTATAGTGTTTTATGACCGACGACGACGCGGTCGAGCCACAGTGGCTTGACGACTTTGGGAACCCCGTGGCGCGCGGCGACCGTAACGCGGGAGGTCCAGTGGCCAGCGAAATTTTACGTTAGACCAAACAAAATGTAAGAACAATATTTTCGAAAATTCGTTTCGACTCGTGATGGTTGTCGACTTTGTGCACGTGTACGCAGTCCGCCGACACAGTTACAAAAACGTAATATCCTGTATAATATTATTATCGTCGGTTCGAAAAACCTACAGGGGGGGGGGGCATTAAATCGGCTGACGGATCTCGTTATAGACCTCGCGAGTGTACTCGGGATACGCGGTTTTTTTTCTGGTGGGAACAAAAAACTTCTTAACGGATCTTAATGACCACCGCCGCCGCACCGAAGAACGGAGTACAATAATATTATACATATTACGAGTATATTATTGTCTGCGACGGAGCCCCGCACCGCCGCGCGCCGTCGAAGTAGTTTATTGTAAGTCGTCGCGAAGTTACCTAAACCACGCACGCGCTCGAATACGGACTGCATCAACAACTGGTTTCGCACGAGCTCGCGATAATAATTGAAAAAAAAAAAAATAAATATATAATTCGATCGTGTGAACGCTTTTACGACCGTAGGTACTGTGCGATATGGTATCCCGAGTCGGTTTCTGTTGTACTTCGGATTATTATTATTATATATACAATGCTCGCTTTCACTAAACGCATGTATATATATATATATAACTAATAATAATGATAATAATAATAATAATAATACGACGTAGTAAACAGTCGTCCGTGTGTGGGCCGATATTTTATATTATTATTGTTATTGTTATTATTTAAACGGCTGCTGCAGTTTGGCGAGTTGACGATTATCTGTCAACGGTATCGAACGTCTCGCCGTCATAAAACGGTTTATTCCGACGATTCGCAATTAGGTCCTGTCGAAAATACTCGTCCACCTGCTCGGCGTCCCTCACCCGGTCGTCCGCGAGTAGGCCGTGGGAAAAATTTAACTATCGGTGTATTATTATCGTTGTTTTTGTTATGTAGGACGCAGCTATACACGATTGCGATCTCCGTCGTCGTCGTCGTCGTCGTCGTCACCGTCGCCGTCGTCGTCGGATCCGGGATGAGCCCGCGCGGAAAAGTAGGACGTGCCGCGCGGGCGGGTCGGCGATCTACAGCGCTCGCGTATTATTATTGTACGCACACACCGCCACGACGAATCTTCCTGCTGTCTTAGGAGCGATAAGGCGAGCGGCGTGTGCGTATTACACGCTCAAAACGTCCGCTCGTCGTCGTGCACATGACGTGCAGCCCGTCGGCGATCGCCTCGTCGTGACCGGCCGTCTCTTCGCGCGCGCCATGATAACACGTATTTCATTATCATTACAAGATGTGTAGGTATACAGGGTGAATTCTTCTGTATATACGAATTTAGATTTTAAAATACATCCAATTATCATGTTTTCGAATTCTGGGTTCTTTTTTATACTACACTTAAGGACTTGTTATGAGGTGATACAAACTTCTGTTTCTCAAACGAACCCTTCCCCCCAGCCACTTCTTTTAGCGGATAATTGTCTTGAAAATGTTTTTGTACCTAATTCAGAATTTTAACAAGCAGTTTCTCAGTTATTATGATGTTTCCATGTTAACGATAATAGTCCTTAGAAAAAAGTTTTACAAAAATATAAAATACTTGTAATGTTGGATCAAGTACTTATTTTACTTTTAAAATTATTAATATTAATAGATTAATATTAGTCATTAACATTTTCAAATTACTTTAAAACTTCATATTTATCAAACCAACTGTTATGGACCTATTATCCTAATAGTGTCACCAAGTGAAGTAACTCATAAGCTACTTATTCAAATTTGGGTTCTGGTACGTTATAATTCCCAGAAAAAACATCCACAAAATAATTAACAGTAGAAAAGGAGGACTATTGATTGAAAAATAGAAGTTTATATCTCCTTGAGACATATTTTGAGTAGTACAAAAATAATATGATCTTTGAGTATATTTAAAAAATTTAAATTTTTAATAACTACTTCATTCAAAAATAAAAAAGAGATGAGCATATGCTTGTTGAATCACTCCGTATAAGAATTCTGTTGTTGCATTCGTAGAGAAAAAAGATATTCAAAATATGCACCACTGTTAACGGCAAACTCACCGTATAAGGATGCGCCGCAAGATAGAAGACGTGCACGACGTGTGGAACGAGGAGCAAGATCGCGGAGGAGACGCGTATACGCGCGCTGAGAGGATGGAAAAATAACTCGCCGACCGAGAATCGTTTTCGGGATGACGTTTTGCCGCCCAAGTGAAAGCTGTAATACTGCACGAGAACAGGTCGGCCACGATTCGCGTGCCCGTCGGCTAAACGAAGACTACGTAGCGACGACTCTGTTTATATGTTATATAGGTACATTTAATGTGCATTATTGTTAAAACGGTATTCTCGCGACTTTCTACATACGAGGCGCGTTATCGTTTCCTAAGACTTTGGGCTACGTGACGGCTGATCATTGAATACTGCAACTCACAGTATTTAATATAATATATTATAATATCGTTGGGGAAAAAACGAATTTATAGGTATACTTTCTAAATTGCATGTCGTTACGTCGGTGTACCAATATTATACGATTTATAGTATGCATATACCATACCTATGCGATGTACACCATCAGGGATACGTGCCGTTAAACGGGCTCATTAGGATCGTGTATTCACTTATAGTGAGAAAAAAAGTTTAAAAATCAAAACCGAATTTTCCTTCCCGTATGGTGATAGTTCGTCAAAGTTTTGTAATGAAGCAGGACTTACCGGTAGTGAACAGGACTATGGCTTTCAAACAACTGTACTCGGCGGCGTCTACGTGAAGGGCTTTGAGTTTCTCCACTTGTTCCTGGAATATACGTATGTGATCCATGAAAGCGACCACACGATCTGCGGCCATTGGAGACGCATGCAGCCCGGCTGCGGCCAACAGCGGGGCAACATGTAGTGGCATCGAACACTGTGATGCGTTCAGTACGAACAGTTCACTCCAGACGAGCCTCAGCAAGGCCACTTGGTCAGTCACCTGATAAGCACACACAATACCGTTTAAGATTGATATGCGAAAACGACAGATTCGCATGTTTCGATTTGATATATAGCATAAGTGTAATATCGTAAAGGTCCTAAGACTGGCTCTGTTATAGGCAACAATATTAAAGCTATTAAACTTTTATTGGCTTTAAAAATATATTTAATTTATTAAATTTGTACGTCTATTTAAACGTAAATGTGATCTATAACTGTCATTTTTACACTAAGATAATAACACGAAGGTAATAAAATGTTCATATTTAGATAAAAAAAATTGAATTCGAATAGTATTGCGAGTAATTTTTTTTGTATTTTTTGTAACTACAACGTTATTTTTCTAGTCGATAAATACCCCGGAAGAGGGCTGGCTAAATTTTTATTATAAATCACGATCACTCACCTGCAGGTCTGGGAAAAAGGGTATGTTTCGAGCCCACTCGACGGCGCTAAACAGCAGCCTGGCCGCCAGCTCGCATATGTTATCTATGCCCATGATGTTATTTGGTTGCATACACTGGCCGTACCTAGACGTTGGGTACGGTTCTGCGCGCAACAGCAGCGATATATAGGAGGACAGGTACGAGTGGCCGTTGAGTCCTACGGCTCCCACGGCAGCGGCCGCGGCCGCGGCTGCCTCACCGTTGGCTAAGCACAGCTGACCGGGAAGTCCGGTGAGTCCAGGAGGTTGGCTGGCCGGAACTCTACCTCTCTGCACAGCTGTGGAAAAACGTACAGACATATACATTAGTTTTAATACCACATGATATTATGACGACATTGTATAAATAATATTACAGTGGGTGGCGCGAAAACTTAGGTTAATGGACTTATGACTACAAAAAATATAAGCCAATTTAAACATGTTATTTTGTTTGACACGATTTCATAATTGTTGGATAAACTTCGCCTGCAGCATACTATTTAGCGACCAGGTTGTGATATTATACCATGAAATACAATTTATGAGGATTTCTGATGTTTTAAATATAGGTAATATATTATGTTAAATGATGAAGAGCTGAAACTGCGTGCACGTCTGATGGCCCGATCTGTCATCGAGACGATACGTGGGAATGCCGCCGCTGCTACCGTCGCCAACATTGCCGGCGTGAAATTCACCCCAACACCACTTTCATTCAAACACCGTACACATCGTATAGGAAGAACGTGTTGATCCGATCGTTCGAGCACCGTTTCAAGACAATCAAGACCATGAATATGACCCTTAATCGTTTTGAAGATAAACGTGTTGTCGACCACGATCGGATACGCACACATGCTTACGGTCATTACAAACTACGTGTGTGATGATATTATATATATTGTATTTTATAGACTTATGTAAATAATTAAAAAAATATTCATTGTCATATAATAGTATTATGTTTATTTAAATGTATAATGTGTATGGTATATAGTTAAAAAAAATGTATATATTAATATTAAACTGAATCCATGTTTAGTCGGTGCGCACCCGCCGAGAGCGACCGTTCCGTGAGTGCCCGTGCCGTTCCATGAGTGATCGTGCTATGGCATGTATTAGAGTTCTTAAGAATTATTTACAAACCATTTACGTATGGCGAAAACTTTGTAGAATGTACATTGTTTGGGGTTAAACTCCATGTGAAAAATACAGCAGGGCAGAGTCACATCACCACCACATGTTTGATCCAATCGAGGAAAACCCAAGTCTTCGATGTTGACGAGTGCGACGTGTGGAATACGTTCCATAAGTTGTTTTTTCTGCTCACCCTTCACGTAAATACAATTGAATTTCAATGAATTAAATATCCGACCGACTTCCTCGTACTCGACATCACCATATTCCAGAGATAGTTGATGATAATTACGTTCGAGCCATTTATTCGTTTTTCGACTCTTGTTGTCCTGTTTAGAGCTTGAATTCTTAAAATCCAGTGTTGACACGCCCACGTTTCCGTGTCCACTACAGACATTTTTTTTATCATATATTTATTGTCAGCTCCGAGAACGCACTGAATGTCTATGATAGCCGACATTATTTTCGATTAAATTAACTTTTATTCTTAAATATTATAAATATTTTCGATTTTCATCAAACGTTTTTCCAGGACTGAAATAAGCGACGCTAGATCTGATAAAGGTTTTCTAATACGACTTTCAGACTCTAATAGAGATTTTGTACTTTGCCGAATATCATCTTCCAACGATTTTATCTTTACTTGTATAGATCTGTGATATCACCTTTCAGAGTACTTATCTCCAATTGCAGTAGCTTTGTATCATATAGAATCGTTTTGTTACTCAATTGAATGTGTAAAATAGTATTTTTTCTATGCCCATCGAGTGAATTATTGAAAATATCAATAATCTTTTATTTATATTTTATTTATCTCTTATTAATTCTTTATTTATTTGTTCTGCGTTAGTAGGTGACAATATATTAAAATCTGGCACGTCACTTGAGTCACGCGTTGTTCCTAAAACAATAAGCGTACAATTTTATAGAAATCAAATAAATATCGATAAAAAAGAGCAGCTTTACAATTGTACGTATATATTATATAATAATAAGTTGGCTTGAATGACTTTTGTCGTCAACTGTCATTAAGAAATTATTTTCTCAAATATTTCAGTAAACAAACAACTATTATACATTATTATTATTTATTATTAAGAAGTTGTTCGAAAATGTACCAAGAGCACACCATAATAGAAGTAAATATTATATTATAATCTAAAACTGATTTATAACTGAAAAAATAAAATTGTTTGGTATTTTTTAGATGGATCATTCGGAAATTGTGATAAATCGTAATCATTCAAAGAAGACAATTATTATGATAGTAATGTTAATTTTATTATGTTCATGTGTGATGTCAACAGCAGTAATATTAAAAAAAAAACAAGTAAGTTGATTGTTATATCTTGCACACGACTAAGGGCTGTTTTTACAATTGACACGGTAGCTCTCCACAACCTTTGGCGTATTTCCCGACCCTAGTACGTTTCAACGTGGCTTTCTACATGATGTATACATGTTTTTACCGATCCTAATCTGATTCAGCGCGATAGGCTTCGTAATTTTTATATAAACACTTAAAACAAATATAATATTAAATGTTACATACATTGTTTTATTATCAAGATTTATAGTTATGAATCCAAAACTATTAACAATAAATATATATTTCTGTTTTTATTAATATGTTTGTCACATTATATTATATACATATTACATAGTCATAACTCATAATATAAGTATCAGTAATAATAATATAAGTTAAATATTTTTAATCAGGCCGAATACGTGTTACATACAGCGTTGTGGATTATAAAATGTGCTGTTAAGTTATCTCATAATGTTTTTTTCGACTCAAGCTGATGGTATCAATATTAATTGTTATGGCTATGTAGGCATAATAAGTAGTATAGGCATTACTATATGCAGTAGTATTTTGTCTTAAAAGTTTATAACGATTATGATAGCAACTATAAGTGTGCACAGGGTAACTTTCAAAATCGTCAGTAAAATGTACCCAAATAAGATAAAATTGTAAATATTGGTTAGTGTGTTCACAACGTTCTATGTGACATAAATACCTATTTAGTGTGGTAATTTTAATTTATATATATTGTTAAATGTGGATGCCTAATTATTAGATACTTCATTAAAGTAAAAATGGATGTATGTCAAATTTTTAAGTTTGATACATCTTATGTTGTTTTAAATAGAGATGTTAAAAATTGTGAACATTTCAGCCTCGCGCTGAATCAGATAAAAATCGTTAAAAACATGTATACATCATGCAAAAAGGTTTTGGCTTCTTTCCCCCCCCCCCCGCTTAAACGTACTAGGATCGGGAAATAGGTTTTTTACCAGACTTGGTACGCAATTCGTGTGCACCGCAATATCCGGTAAAGTGTCTAATTAATCGGTAAAATTCAGCCGGTTAAGTGATGGTTAAATATTTTTGTGATTTTAACTTAACTTTAATTTTTAATATTTTAAAGGAACCAAAGAAAATCCAAAGTAAATTTATTAATAATTTAACTAATTTCACATTAGTTGAATTAATCAATGAAATAAAAAAAATTGACATGTCAAATGACCATACTCAAGATATTGAAAAACATGATGTATCAAAAATTGATACTGCTACAAATGCAGCATCGTTTTTAGATGGCATCATACAGACTTATTTGGGTAAAAATAAACAACAAAAATTAGAACCACCTGCAGGTGTTATTAAAAATATTGTTATGGATAATACTGCTATTAATATTGGTAATATTACATTAATAACAAAATAACACACAAGGGGACAAGACACATAAGCAAACAGCGATATATTTCAATATATATGTCTTGCCCTCCACCCCCACCCATACAGGTCCGTAAGAAGCGTGCCCTTTATTTTTTTTCTTATATTGTTTTCGGGTCCCTCGTCATTTTAATTTCTCCATTTCCTTTAGTAAATTTTTCAAATTATGTATATATACCTATAATAAATAACAATAAATGTAATAATCCATTATATAAATTTATATAAATAAACATTTTGTCATGTTATTTAATTGGTTTTTATTGTATAGCTTATAATATAGTAAAATTAATTTATGAGGCCTGTGGAAATATATAAATATATTTAATTAGATAATTATAGTCATCAGTCACTAATCTGATATCTATATAATATTAAGTAAAATACATACCATGTTTGCTCTGTATGTGGTCGGACAGATTACTTCGACGAGTGAAATCTTGTTTGCAATCACCACATGTAAATTTAATTTGTTTATGAGATTTTACATGCCTCAACATATTACACTTCACAATGAAAACTTTGTCACAAACACAGCAATTAAACATTTTTACTGATAGGTAATAAACACTGGATTAAGAACAATAGTAGCACGTAGATTGCTTGTAAGAGCTTGAAGAACAGTATAACTCCTTTTGAGTGAAATCGGCTCTCGTATATACAATATATCTACCCACTCCATACAGGTATAGGATGTGTGATAAATATATGTCGTAATATATTAATAATACTTATAATTAAGAACTGGAAAAGTCGTGTCACACTAAACATCGTATATAAATCTCTAAATTATCTTTTCCTAATGACTTTTGGCTGAAAGAGAAATCATATATATCTAATAACAGTAAGGTGTTAGAAAAATGTTAAGTTGTTATAATATTACTACTGTATGAGCTCATAAAAAACTATATGCTATTTTTCATGACAGATTTTAAACTCGCTGAATTTATATAAATTTATTTATACAGTTCACTTGAATATAATATACGTGTGTATTGTTTATTGTTTTCATAAGTTCTTGCGCTTTGGGATAAACTCAGAGTTATCGCTAATTAATAATTACGACGCTCACATTCTTCAGCGTTTAATATGATATATATATATATATCGGTATATTTATTTGTTTTTTCTTTGCCGACCATCGATTAACTACTGAGTTACTACCTATCATAATTTATAAATGATAATAGTTTATTAGTATGTATTATTATTTATTACGAAAATGTCTTAATAGCTTGGCATAAATAATAATAATGCGCCAGACACTTGAGCTCTGCACATTTTGTCAAATGATTATAATAATTGTATAAAATGTCCCCGTAGAAATTGTTTGTACGCATAAATCTTGTTTAGTATCTTGCTCAATAATTGTTTTCATAAAGTATGATAATGCGCGCTGAACATTTATGGGTG